TGTTTAAGTTTTCTTCTCAAAAACCGCCTTATAGTTTTATTTATGTATACTCTTATACTGTTATACTCTTTTGCTGTTATACTATAATAGTACTCGTGTACTCGTATACTTATATATTTCGTTTACTTTCATAGTCCTTTACCCTTACATTATAATAGTCGTATACCACTATACTTCCCTATCCCTATGATTTGATAATCTTATACTGTTATAATCTTCTACTCTCATACTTGCATACTCCTGTGGTCTTATACCCTTTACCTCATAGTTTTACACTAACTCTTACACTCTTCTAATTTTGTGGCACTCTTCTAGCATTATTCCATATCGAGTCTTAAAGTCTCATAGCATTCTTAATCTTATGCAGATGAACAGTTATCCTGATATTGAATAGCTCTTCGCCTCCTTCTGCCTGTTACATACACCTCAACAAATACGGTATATCCTGTTTCCACAGCCTCTATTGGTTTGGGGAATAACAAGAAAAATTAAAAGGAACAACTTTTGGGTCAACGTTGCCTAGGCATAGCCCACACAAAGCCTACAATATCAAACTCCCGCATCTGAAGCACATAGAAAAGAAAAAAAGAGAAACAAAAAAAAAGCAACAGAAATCGCGCATTTTGGTTTTCGTTTTGTTACAAATTGGCGAAGGTGCAAAGGAGTATATTGGTTTTGCCTGGCTATGCTATGCCCGATTGAACTTGAAGAATTCAAGTTTAGTATGATATATGAATGGAATCCGATGTATGAAATCTATGACAATTCCTGGTTATTATTTACAGAGAATTCTATGGCCATGCTTTAAGACCCTATTAAAGCAATATACTAAGATTCTAATAAATACATATTAGATAACGATAATTTAGGTCCATTCGAAATAATCGAGTCCTTCCAGGAGCTTAGCGCAAGAATATGCTTTACAGTTTGATCTATGACTTATATAATTTTCCTATTGGCTTCAAGTTTACATAAAATGAGCTGCATTTCATCACGTGGCCGAGTATTAAGCAGTCGGTCATGCCCGATGCTCACCTATTTTAGCTGCTGCTGCCGCTTTTCAACTAATAAATTGCCCTTAAATTCTTTTGTATTTCACGCGCGCCTTCACCGGGGGCAACCGGAGGGCAAAGCGTGTTTAGAGTGTGGAAAAGAGAGAGAGATCTCTCTCTCTCTCTCCCGCTCTCTGCTCTGCTGTGGCAGCAGCTGCAGCCATAATTTGTGTGACTTTATTATGTGTCAAGTCAGAGTCAATCTGTGAACAATGATGATGAGGAGGACGACAAGAGGCGGGGGGAAGGGAAAGGACAAGGGAAAAGGCGCTCGTTGAGCAGCTACAAATTCGCGACTTCCGACATTTTGCCATGGCGCAGCTCTCTCAGCCGCTCACATTGACATGTGTCGCGCGGGCGGCTTATTAGACCACGCCCACCGTGCACTACCTGCAGAGGCCGATGCCTACTTTGGCGGTCATTAAATATGCAGAGAGGCAGCAGCCATGCGGCATTTGCATAATAAAAATGAAAATCCTGGAGAACAAAAAAAAAAAAAGAAAAGAAGAAGTGGAAATTCTAAATTTCTATATTGAGACAGTTTCGCTCGGCTTCTTCTGCTTCGGATGCTGTCAAAATTATAAAAGTGAAAGATGTTTAAATGGAAAAAATGTAAATCCAACGCCCAATGCCTGCGCTTGCAATTCAAATTATTCACTCAAATGAAGCAGCAGCAGCAGAGGCAGAGGCAGAGACAAAGGCAGAGGCAGCCAAACACAAAAGTTTTCTGCACTTGGCATAAATTTCGAACAATTTTCCCGCTTCTCGCCTCGATTTCCCCCTGGCAAAGGACGATTTGATTTTATTTTATTAGCACATCACACGATTGGCGCCACAACTTGACAAAGTTGCAACTTTGTCCTGCCACTGCCACTGCCACTACACCTTGCCTCACTCTCACTCCCTCTCTACCAGCCCCTCCCCCCACCCTTCCTCGCCCTTGGCAACTTGCAAGTCTTGTAGAATCGCTTTTTTTCTGGTCGCTTTGCTGTTTTCTAATTGTTGGCTTACAAAACTTAATGTGGAATTCAATTTGTGCGTACTGCATCCAGCGGACGGTGCTCGGGCATGGGCCTGGGGGGTGCTGCGTTTTGAAAAGTTTTTCATGGCATTTCTTTGGGTTTTTTGTCGCCCCAATCGGTGCCCCTGCCCCAACCCCCAGCAACTTGGGCACAAAGCAAAAATGCACACTGACAGCTCAACTGACAAGAAGTAGATAGAAATACTGAAAGTGAGTAGCTGGTAGTGGGTAGCTGAACCGCAACGGGTATGCTCGACTATGCAAATGCGCTGCCAGTGAGACTATAACATTAGATTAAGGATTACTTGAGGCCAAGCTTAGGCATCTTCTACTTCATTCGCCAGCCAAGCACATGATTAAGGCTGAAGGAGCAGAAACGGGCATGCTCGACTATGGACATACAGCATAGGCGGGCATGCTCGACCAAGCAAATACGCTACAAGTGAAACCATATATAAGAATATTTAAAGGTCTTCACTACGTCAAGACGTCAAGTAAGTAAAACTGCTTGAGCACGAGCGGGTATGCTCGACTATACAAATACTTTGTAGACATACGCAGCACTGGAATTACTTTGAACCAAATTAAAAGTCAATCTGTTAGCAGTTCGACGTTGTATAATTAAAGAGATTATATTCAGCCATAAACGGGTATGCTCGACTATGCAAATACTCCATATAAATATACAAGGAAACGTGTTGAATGAGAAATGTCTATAAACTTAAGCATCACGCTAAAATATATTGAAAATAACTCCAACAGGGCATGCTCGACTGTTTAAATACCCTACAAATTAATACTGTTATCAGCGAGAGATTTCTATTCAGCAATACTTATAGACTTTGTCTTCCATCTCTACCATCTCTAATTAATGAACACATAACTAAGCTGAGCATGCTCGACTGTCTAAATACACCTTTAGCTACCTAGAGCATTGTAAGAAAATATTCAATAAAGAATGTCAGCTATCAACTAAGCGAGCATACTCCTCCGTTTAATACCCTGTAATATGCTTACACAGTATCTGCTCAAGATAAATGCTCACTGAATCAGCTAAATCGCTCAAATGCCGCCCACGCTTCAGTTTTATCGAGCTGAAAGTGCAGAAAGGCTTGAAGCAGAAAAGCTCAAACCGGGAAACTCTAACTGACAGGAAAAAAGAAAAAGACGATGCAAAGTAATTTTTCAATATTAGCTGCACTTAACACACTTGATTTGAGCGAAGCAAACAGGTAGAAACAGGTAAACAACAGCAGCAGCAGAGGCAGCGGCAGAAGCAGAGGCAGAGAGAAGTATTAGGGACAACTTGCGACGTGCATAAGTCACCCTAAGGACGTAATTAATTTTTCAGCATTTGCTCTACCACACACACACACATACACACACACACACACATACACAGACACAGGCTCAGGTTGCCTTGACGAATTTGCGCCGCGGTCGCTAAAGGACTTTCCGAGCCAAGCCTCGGGCCGCTTGGCCAACCAAATTAGCGCGGCCATTACACGTGGGTCGGGGGCGACAGGTGAGCGTGAGGCGGGGTGCAGCGCAGTCCTGGCATAAGGACACTTGAACGCCAACGGCCACAGTCAGCGCTGCTGCTAGCTGCCTCGCTTCTACATATTTTATGGCTCCCGTAAATTGACTTAATTTCCTATAATTTTCGAGCACGCGCCGCCTTTAAAGTGCCAAATTGAATAAGACTAAAAAAAGTAAGGCAAAAACAAAAAACCAAAAAAAAAAGACCTAAATACTTTAAACGTGTATTCATCCTGTTTTCATTTTATACCCTAAGTGTAGTGCAAATTACGAGACGGGTATATTGATGCGGGACAATCAGCAAAAGGAAACAGAGCAAATGACTTAAAGACTATTAAATGTATAAGACTACAGTATAAGAGTGTTGAATATAAGATTACTTAAGTCTATACCTACAAGTATTAAAGTATAGCACTCTAGGAGTATAAGAGTGCTATAGAGCAAATGTATACGCATTTTAGATTATTGGAGTATAAGAATATATGAATATTACGATCATAAGACTATAGTAGTATAAGACTGTATATTATGTTTAAGAGTTTACATTTATTATAGTCTAAGAACATATGATAATATTCATATGATATTATAAGACTTTACGAGTATACGTATAAGAGTGCACAATTGACAAAGCACCAGAGTATAGTATGATCACATTATAAGTAGTATAGTATATGACTATATACAATATTGTAAGAGTATTAGAGTATTTAAATAGGATAGTACATGGTATATACTAAGACCATAAGACTATTAGAATATAGAAATATTTAAATAGAAGAGTAAGAAATAATAAATAAATCAATAAATTCATATATGTATATACCCACACGAGTATAAGAGCTGTACATTATAATAGTATAAGACTAATATACTATAATATATTGCAATTAAAGCTTTCAATAAATAATTTTAAACTGAATACACAAAGTACTTCAGTTTTCATATATCATCCCGTTTCTCTTTCTATATGCAGGATACTTAGGGTATCTGGTACTCGCACCCTTACCACGTCCTGCAAAGGGGAGTGAGTGCGGCGCACTTGACATTGTATTATGATAATTGAACGCGTGTAATTGCCCTCAAGTAGCTTCTGAGCAGAACTCAACAGTCAGCAGTCAGCAGTCAGTGCTGAGGCAGGAATTCAGAAATGGCAATGAAATGGCCATGAAAGATTCATGGAGAGAAGGCAGCAATCAAATGGACTAAACTAAGGCGATTTGTATATAAATATATACATATATATATATGTATATACGTAAGGCCCTGCTTATAAAGTGAAAAAATGTAGGAAATCAGAGTGAAAAAAAATTTATGTGGAAGCGTGAGTTTTCTTCACGTTTTTGGGGTGGCTTTTCAGCTTCTTTTGTCGACTTTCTCTTTCTCTCTTTTTTTTGCATATTCATAATGTTTTACATTATTAGCATAATTTATGCATAACTGTCACATTGAATTGCTTTCAAAACTTGATGCAAATGGGCAACTGAATCGAGGAGTGCGGGCGTTACGAGATGCTCTACTTACTTTGTAAACTGTAAAGGCAGCTCGCTGCAGCTATTTCTCCTCCTCCTCCTCCTCTTTCTGCTTCTCCGCCGCCTGCTCCTGCTCCTGCTCTTTGCCATCGTTCTATTAGATTAAAGTGTATACAATATATTGTCCTTAGCTTAGGCAAACGATTCCGATCTGAAAATCTGCATCTAATGCACCCACGACGGTGGCGAGGTGACCACGCTAGGCTGTGTATACTGTACACGTGCGTTCAGGTTTGCGCTCGCTGTATCCAGACTGTTGTTGTTGTTGTTATTGTTGTTGCTTAGCAGCAACTGTTGCTGCTGCTGTTGCTGTTGTTGCTGCTGTTGCTGCTGCTGTTGCTGCTGCTGTTGCAGCTGCAGCTGTGCCTGCAACTGACTTAGCTGAAGGTTTGCACTGCTGTTGCCAGCAACGCTGTTGTTGCTGTTGCTGCTGCTGCTATTTGTACTATTATTGGTTAAGATCACATTCGTAGCGTTCGTATTGACCGCAGCCAACGGTATATTTATATCCAGCATTCCATCATAGCACAACTCCTGATGCAGCAACTGTAAGAGAGATGAGCGTGAGGTTAGTTCAAATAACTGAGTGTGTTCTAGTCGTGTATACCCGACTATTCTGACAATAGACCTTAACTCTATTTTTTTGTTTATACAATTTTCAAGCTAAATCAAAATCTGCTGAAGTCTGTGCTATTGAAAACTCCAGCCATATCGATATCGATAACAATACCGATAAGTTGCTATAGACTCTCCGGGACTGCTGGAACTTGCTCTTCTGTTCTATATATACTTGATAGTTCTTACCTCTTCGACGTTGCACTCGAGACCGCCCTGAAAGTTCTCCAGATTAAATTCTTCTATGGGTTCACTGTTCAGCGCCTCCAGGCATTGCCCTATCAAAGTAGAGGCGCAGTTATTATCTGTTCAAGCAGAAGCACATAGAACAAATAGAGGAATAGACGAGAGGAAAACTTTTGCTATTGCTGCACGGAGCCAACTTCAATAGGATCCAAAACACTTACCCTCTAGCCCAGAAGAAAGCTGCTGCTGCTGCTGCTGCTGCTGTTGCTGCTGTTGTTGCTGCTGTTGCTGCTGTTGTTGTTGCTGCTGTACGAGTAGTGCAGCATTATCGGCAGCAGCTTCGAGCAGCACATTGCTATATGTGTTGAGAGAGTCCGAGGAGGGCTCGCTGTTGGGATACGCAGGCGACATTGTGGTGGTAACTGAGTTGGGTGAGAGGCCCTGCAACGAGAACGGAACGAGGGATAATCAAATGCTGCTGATCGAATGTTGGTGCTCTCCACTCTGCCACTCACATCTCGCACGGGTGCACTGTGCAGGCAGCCGCAGTTGAGCGAACGATGCAACAGGCACTGTGCCTGCTGCTGCTGCTGTTGTTGTTGTTGTTGTTGCTGCTGCTGCTGCTGCGCCTGCAGCGAGCCGTAGTTGGGCGCAGAGACGGGTCCGTTGAGCGCATAGCCCTGTGTGTGCTGTGGATGCTGAGGCGGCTGGTATGGCGGTGGCGGTTGAGTGGGCAATCCCGATGCGGCGCTGAACCTGCTCCAGCCGTACGATCGTTGGGTTGCAAAAGAAACAAACAAACTTTGACTTTATAGACCAGTTCGATGGAACCTCAAGATGTTATATAGAGTATATAGAGCGCATGCAAGGCATTCACAAGAGAGAGAGGCAACATAAGAGAGTCTCACACACAAACACACACACTCACACGCACACACATGAAACAATAAACAGCAATGAAAATTATAAAAATGAAAACTGACCCTTGCTGCTGCAACATATCGGTATGTAGTTTCAGCTCATCCGCCATGGAGCCAGCCAATTGATCAAACACCTGGACCTGCGCTTGCGTCAATGTCGTATTTGGATAGTCAACCGGAAAGCCCCAATCTGGCTCCAGGTCCAATGCGCGAATGGGACTCAAGCGTCCACAGGAACTGGCATTTGATGAGGCGCGCTGACGAAAATCTGGCGACAGTTGATAGCTGCCGCTGAACCGCAAAACGATATTCATAAATGTAAGGAAAGAAAGCACGACGAAGGACAACAAAAGAAAAATAAAAAAATCAAATTAAAAACATTTCAATAAAAACGAATGTAAAGGAAAATAATAATAATATAATAATAATACTTATATATGAACATCATAATGCTGAAATACACTTATCTGCTATGCCTCTTTCATCAAAAATCAATAATAAATTAGCTTAATCAAATATTTAATTAGGCAAATGGAAAGCCTTTCATGTAACTAAGACTAGAAGCGAGCATTCAAATCTACTTAAATAAAATCTATATTAAAGCAGAAACAGGTAAGTTGAATATTGAAACAAGCTAAGCTACTTTAACAACATGCAATTCCTTAAGAATATTATTTAAGTTAATATTATTTGAGTTTGAATATAATGCTGAAATGGAAAAGCCTGAAGTAACTTTAAAAGTAATAAGAGCCACTAATAAAAAGTAAAAATTTAAAATTCTCTTCTTTTTTTATTCTCTATATTTCCAATGATTTTTATTGAAATTGACAAATTCTATTGAACAATTAACTGTTCTTGATAACTTTAAGAACTGTTAGAAATAGTTTTAGACTCTACTTTCATCAATTTTTATACATACATGGTTCTATTTGTAGACCTATATTTCAGCAGTTCAAATACACCCAACAATGTATAAGCCACAATGTTTCCTAACCCAGGATAAGAACAGAAACAGACTATCCTATTCCTATGCCAACTCGAAATAGTTTGCCACAAATACATCCCAACTATTAGAGATAAGAATACCATGTAATTCCATGTAATACATAAAAAGGACAGACACATTAAAATCAGTTCGAATTTTTGTCCGCTAAAAATAAATGTCTCCATATTTAAGCTGTTTATCGACAACATTTCAAGTATTTTATATTTATATTCGCATACATATGCTCAACCTGGCTTTTGAGCATGGATCACAATTAGCTTCTGCTCCTCTAACAATATTGACTGGAACAGTTTGAACTGCTCAGATTTTATTATATATATATTGTATATCTATTGCTCTATCTATCTCCCATACAATATATAAACTTTAAGTACAAAGAAAATACGAAATTATCTTATTCAATTTGATCTGTTTGCTTCTTCCAAAGAAAAGCGGACCCACCCTATACATTTCGACTCATTAGAGGAACTGAATTAAGCTAACTCTACCTATAAGACCGATGCTATTTTTCTTTTCGCAGTTGCAGATATATTTAATAAATATAAAATTATATTCTATATATCATTAAAGTATATATTGTATACACTATGTATATAGTGTATATACTTATGTATAGTTTTGCTCATGAAATGAATAGTGCTGAACTATAAGAAATATATGATATATGCATATCTAATCAATTTAGATTTATATAATTAAATTAGCTATAAATTAGCTATATTGCTGTAATTCCAGATAATATCAAATAATAAAAAATATGCAAAACTACTTAAACTGCATTCTTAATTCAAAATCTAGGCTACTGTTCAATGGATCTGGTTTCAGGTCGGCCTCAATAGTTACCTGTGCAGTGGACTCTCTGGAAAGTGATCGAGCCCCTCGCTGACGCTGCTGCTCGGCGAGGGCGTGGCATCGTTGAGGCCCACAACGCCGGCCTGTCGCAGCGCCTCGACGCGCTTTTTGGCCCGGCCGCGACGCTTCTCGTAGCGCGATGTCTCCATGGAGGCGGCGCGGCGTCGCACCGACTTGCCCGGCTTGGCCTCCGGATTGAGCATCCACCAGGATGATTTGCCGGTGCCCTCGTTCTGCACGCGCATGAAGCGATTGTGCAGCGACAAATTGTGCCTGATGGAGTTCTGCAAAGGAAAAAGACGTGGAAAAACCGAAAATTAGTTAAGCTGCGCCAAGTTCTGCTTCGTTTTGCTTCGTTGTCTTCGCTGTCTTCGATTCGCAGAAATCGCAAATCTAAGCAATTCAATTCGAGACGCGCCACGCCGCTGATGTAACGACAATTTGTAAGCAATTGCGTTAGCTTCCTGCCAAAGGGAAGGATGATGAGGAGATGGGGGGACGTGAGGGTATGTGAGGGGTTAAGGTCTTGTGCTACGTTTCCTTTTCCCGGTTTGCCATTCAATTGTCTGACGACATTTTTATGGTTTTTTAGAGCACACACACACACACGCACATACAGAAAGAGAGAGTGAGTGAGAGAGAACTCGCTCTAATTGGAAGACGTCTTCACTTGGCTGTCGTCGTTCTGCCGCGTTGTCAGCGCCGTTGCCGTCGCCGTTGCCGTCGCTGTTGCCGTTGCTGTTGCCTGTCGCTTAAGCTGTCAATTCATATTTTATAACAATAGTCATAAATATCGTCATGCGCAACGTAATGACAGCAAACTCGACGAACCACACAGAACGAACTAAGCGGCGAGACTAGCATCGACCTGCCAATCTCTCTGTTCCCTTCCCTCTCTTTTACCCACTCTCCCTCTCTCTGTCACTCTCTCTCTTCCACTCGGTTGAGGTGCAACAAAAAATGAAGAAAAAACCAAGAACAATTACAAACCAAATAAAATAAAATAATCAAATACATTTTAGTGAGGATTTGTCATCGATTACAATGCTAGAGTGGGAGAGAGTGGGCAGGAAGTGTGAGCGCTAATCGGGAGTACCTGACTATAAAATACCTTTTGCTATGTTTATTCTCTTAGGCAACACATGCAATCCCACACCTGCAACGAGTGAGATCTCTTTGTAAACAGAACCCATTGAGATTTCGGATGCCTCCCCTAAGTCCGGAAGCAGCGCTTACACAATCCTTGTTCGCAATACGTTCATCAATCATACGATTTATAGTAATTCGCTATATAGACCACAGTAGGCCTGAGTTTCTAATCTGTAAAGTCTTATAGAAGCTAATATTTGAATTTTCAACTAATTTCCTATTCCAATTTCTCATATTTCGATTCCCGCAATGCTTGCGAAACCTATACTATATAATAATNCCCTATATAAGCAGTGGTGGCCATAGAGATCTATAGTAATTCACGTATCGAATTTTGAAATTGACATATCAACTAAAAAATGTTTTTATTGTTAAATCTAAATGTATATTTTACAGTCCTTTCCTCTAAATACTTACTTGAACTTCAGTAATATCCATTACAGCAAGACTTTAATTTTTTAATAAGTTAAGCACTTGATAGGACTAGACTCAGAGTTCTATAGCGAATTTCAATAGGCTCTACTTAGCACACACACTCAATCCAATATGCTCCTTTCACTAAGTAAATAAGTATTGCAATAAAATAAAAATATATCAAGTGAACACGCTCGAGTGATACGCGGTATCCAAAACTAAATGTAGCATTACAAAACTAAACTAACTGTAAACGCACAGAGTCAGATCCACTACCAAAACCAGAGCCAGAGCCAGAGCCAGGCCACAGATTCAGATTCCAAACAAAACTCAACTTCGATTCAAATTGCGATGCGTCGCGACTTCAGTCGGCACATTGGCGCCATTTATCACCGTTTTGCCCCCAACACACACACACACACACGCGCGCACAGATACATACATGTGTGGGTGGCCAAACTAAACCTGTGCACAGACGGCTGACAACAGACGGCAGACGACCGACTGCCAGTTAGGGGCAGACAGCAGCAGCAACACCGGCTGCGCGTTCAGCCTTTCTATAATTTTTTTTTTTTTTTTTGGTGCGAGTCAAAAACTTTTACTTGGCGTCCTGTTGGCGTCTCCTGGCTACATCGTAATGACATTTCGGTTTTAGTCTCACACTCTCATGCACAGAGAGAGAGAGAGAAAGAGAGACAGTGAGAGAGAGAGAGAGAGAGAGAGAGAGAGAGTTAGAGAGAGAGAGACACTCATTTGTCACTTTACTCTTTCTTGGAGTTTGTTCCTTGCATAAAGTTATCATTTTTATTTAAATGCCTTAAGTGCCCTGCCCTGCCCTGCCCGCCCCAGCACCGTCCTCTGGCCTCATCTTTGCCATATAATTTAAAGAGCTTAACGTTTTTATTATGCTAATACGCCCAGATCAAATTATCTGGACAGGCAACAATCTATTTGCGCATAAACATGCATAAATTAGTTCAAATTAAGTTTCAGACATATCTGAAAGCTAAAGGCTACAGACTTAACTCGACTTAACTCCCACATTCATTACACTCGATTGGGTCGAGGGAATATTAAAGGGGTATATTGAATTTGGGAAAATGTTAGCTGTAGTAGATGAAGTATTGGTAGTATTACTTTAGAGTTCTAGCTAGAATATCGTCTATTCTATTCGATACTTTTTCAGGCAGTGGTATCGGAGTATGTTGACCTTGGGAAAGGTTTAACTTGGCTATTTTGCAATCAATCTTTATCTAGTTCTAGATCTCTCTATTAATATGTGAATCAAATGAACATTTAATCTGCTCATCGAAATTCAAATCAAAGTCTAAAATGTGAAATTCTTAAATTCGCAAGTTTAATTCGATTAAAGTTTGGGCAACTCATGGGCACTTCGTGTCACGACGCGTCGCCGGCACGATTCCGCTGTCAACTTGACTTTACTGCCATAAAAACCTACACGAGCAATGCTAACAAATGGCATTTATAATTTATGGCACACACTTCATTGAATATTCATAAACTCGAATCTGGCCGAATGACTGCGAGCCGAAAAGAACGATAGAAAAAAATTCAATTCATCTAACTAATTGGCGCTATAAAATTTTTGGAATATATTTCGGCTCATATATATAGAAAAGACTTTGAGACTTCCAACGAAAAAGAAAAAAAAAAAGAGAAGCAAACTGCGACCACACGCTGAGCGAATCGAGCTCTTAGAGATTGGCCTGGTAGGAAAGGCAAGTTACCAAGGGAGCTGCATTACGTACATCCTGGCAGGGGCGAAAGTGAGATGGCGCAGCAGTGGGGGAGGCCTTACAGTGCGTATGTGGGTCACACTCGAGGCGAACGCCGCCCCCCCGCCCAATCGACACACAAATATGAAAAGAAAGAGCCTGGCCTGAAAACCAGCAAATCAGAAAAGAAGCAAAACAAGTAAGAGAACTTTAATCGGGCCTGATGGACTTGGAGATACCAACACTTTACATATTCACGATAAGCAGGAAATGGGATCCTTAAGGCAGATAACATGAATATACACTCTCTAATTTCATACTGGCATACAGGCATGAATACAGTAGTAAAACACTCTTATACGAGTTGATTTCTGTATAAGAGCTTAAGTACTCTTATACAGAAATCAACTCGACTGTGACTATGTGATCAAGAATTGATTGTATACTCTTATATTCACAAACTCTTATAGTCTAGTCGTATAAGTATGTTACCTTCACGTCTAATACATTCAGTACAATTATGCGCCTCACTTAAATACCCATGTACTCTTATACTCGAATTGACATATACACCAATGCTCTTATACATTTCTCTAATGTATGCTAATAGTCCTATGCCCTATTAGTCTTATACTCAGACACATCCATACTCCTCAAGCACTTATAAATACTTCTTATACCGGAACAGACAACTTTAATTCGTGCACTGTTATGTTCATACATTCTTATACTCGAATATAATCATAATACTCATGTAATCTAATATTCTCTCATTTGAATACTCATGCATTCACATTCATATAAAGTCTTATACTCACATTCAAACAAACACTTATAATACTTTGATACCCTTGCAATCGTCTGCTATCTCCTATACTCAGACTGAAATCATCTTCACAGACAGACAGACAAACAGAAGAAGAGCTCGACTATAGCTTCATCTGATCGGCCACGCCCACTTCTGTCTTCTACACACATTGTGCAACCAATATACCCCGCTCAGCCATTCACCGTTCAATCAGCATATGAATCAAAGGAAAAGCATAAACTACAATATATGAAACGCCAGCTCGATGGCTTCATTGAATTTGCTTGCAACAAACACAAATAGGCGAAATTCTGAAATGGAAATTTAATACGTATATGAGCACAAGTCCATTTGTCGCCAAGGATATTCGCACACACACCAACACACACACACACACACACACACGCAGAGAGTCGCATGTCCTTTTGTGTACGCACACAATTAATGTGCACCGAGCGTGAATTACAATGGAACATCATTCCCCGGCAAATCGGTTGCCTGGCATCTGCCCGGCCCTCACGATTTGACCCACTTATGCAGAAATAGTGAAAGCTGCCGATGCCAATTACATTTATTAGAGCACAGCTTTTTTTCTATATACATATATATAATTTTTTTTTTTCTGCCTTATTTATTAGTCAGGCCGAGCAGCGCTCTGATTCATTTCTCTATAATTTATAAGAGTAATTGGTCCAACGTTGAAGTCGGCCTCTGTTTGGGGTCGCAGGCGCGCACTACAATATATTAAATCTACCCAAGCGCGCTTCATTTCACCCAAATACGCATTCATACCCATTTTTGTGCCCCTTGAACTCGTTGAGAATGGGGTCGATGCAGTTGGTAACTAACTGAAGGAAGTCTAGGCAATTCCAACGCGAACTCATCAACCTCAGCATATGTCCACAACCAGATCAAAGTGAAAAACCTAAGTCTCCGGGTATTCGCTAGTCGTGCATACCCCGCTAGAACCCTCTGACTTGAATTTTTGGCTTGCCTAGCAAAAGGCTGCCCATGCTGGGGTAGATTCCCCTCATTCCATTGCTCTGGTACCCCACATGACGCGAATATACGTAATGCGCCTTCATCCCAAACATCAAATATGCATATTTCATATTTCAGATATCGCGGGGCGCCACAAATGACAGCATGTGGCACTAAGTGCGTCCAACATGCAACG